AGATTACACACTTCCTTGTTGTCATACCCATTCATACCGTCAGTTGGAGCTCTGACAGGCTGAAAGCAGTCACCTGACACTCTCAGCAAGAGCTCCCGACCTCGTTTGGCCCTCCCCACACCGCAGGGCCCTTGGTCTGGGTGCCGGTGGGGAGGCAGGTTGTAAGAGTTTGCCTTTTACAAATTCTAATGTCACTACTATAAATAAATTTCTGGAGTGTTAGGTTTGAGCCCTTTAGAGTAACGCACTTCATCTCTTCAAGGGTTAACGCACTTCATCTCTTCAACTCTCTGTTTTCCTACGGAAAGCTGTTTCTTTCACTCTCTGTTACAGAAGAGTTGGTTACAGTTCACAGAGTGTTAGGCACTATTCATCTGAAGAGCGTTATCGACACCGTAGAATGCTATGTACAACTACACAGTAAAATGTTGTGTACAGTTACACAGAAGAATGCTATGTACAGTTACACAGTAGAATGCTATGTACAGTTACACAGTAGAATGCTATGTGCAGTTACGCAGGAGAATGCTATGTACAGTTGCACAGAGGAATGCTATGTACAGTTACACAGAAGAATGTTATGTACAGTTACACAGAAGCATGCTATGTACAGTTACACAAAAGCATGCTATGTGCAGTTACGCAGAAGAATGCTATGTACAGTTACACAGAAGAATGTTATGTACAGTGACACTGAAGAGCGTTATGTACAGTTACACAGAAAAGTGTTAACTACAGTTACACACGAGAGTGTTATGTGCCATTAATCTGAAGAAGTGTTAGGTACATCTTCTCCGAAGAGTGAATTGTACAATTAATCAGAAGAATGGAAGGGCAGTTTATTGCCTGTGCACCCCCGTAGGGCCTGACTTGTCTGTGCCCCAGGATTTGTCCGGCTTTGTCTGAGCCCTATTGATTGGCCTGCTTTGTCTGTGCCTCATTGATTGGCCTGCTTTGTCTGTGCCCCATTGATCTGGCCTGAGTTGTCTGTGCCAGAATATCTGCATGCCAAGCCTTGCGACCACATACTCACGCTTGGACATTGCATGCACTGCCAAATTTGCCTCTGTCACTAGATGAGGTGTTGTCCCGATGCTGCTGCCGGTGACACTTGTCCGTTATACCCCTAGAGGTCGCCTTGTCTAGGACCGCTCCACGGTCAACCCTTCATTCGGGGGAATGCACACAGGCGATGCCTACTACTGCAGCGACCACCTTCTAAAGAAGGCGGGAGACTTGAAGGAGTCAGACTCCCCTGAGGAGGGCAGGCAAGCGCGCATAAGCGCTACTAGAAGGGTGAAGGCCCGGAAGATAGACTCCGGAGAAGCATCTAACCCCGATGCAATCAGGCTGGACGGCCCTGCCTATATGGTGCAAAGGAAGGTGGTGTCCTTCGGATGCGGCAGTGACCACTTTATTAATAAAGACAGACAACTTGAATGAGTCAGACTCTCCTAGAGGAGAGCAGGCAAGTGCGCACAAGTGCTACTGGAGGGGTGAAGGCCCTAAACCAGGCGCCCGGACAGATTAGACTCGAGAGAAGCGTCAAACCCCAATACGATCACCCACGGCGGCCAGACTACACTGCCTAGGTGGCGCAGGGGTGATAGTCCTCGTGACCCCACCCCCACCACGGCCTGCCTAGCTAAGTGGCGGGTGGACTGGTCCCTCTCGGAAGGAGAGGACGATGGGGGTGGACTATGATGATGCCCCCAAGTGGCACCGCGGGACGGAGAACAAGCCCACTAAAGGGGCTCGACTCCTGTGGAAGAAGAGGTCGTCTCGTGGGTCGCCTTAAACGAACCGCTGTGCGACCCTCGACCAATTGCTCATTTCTTCGGAAGGGTCTCGGCCCCGGAACCTAGCACCATCGGTGCGTTGCTGGGACCGTAGATCGCTGACTTGATAAGCCCGCAAGATACTTGGAGTGGTATACCCAGCCGGGCTCCCGAACAAAGTAGCCTCGTACCCAGACTTAGAACTCGATGGGGCGCTACTGCTCACTTGGTGGCAACGCCTGTCTAGTATACAGGAGATCCGGAGTACGGCCCGCTGCGGTGCCTATACTCTACTTTTCAGTCCGCAATGACAAGCCAAGGGTTCTCCCCCACACAAGTGGGTTGTCGAGACTAGTGCCCGAATTCCCCCCCGAGGCTGGCCCTGCTGACACCCGGAAGGTGGGTGGCCGGTCGGGCAGGTGGCGCGCGAGGGAGCACTCAGTGCTTCCTCTTCAGCTCCCTCACGCACCGCACTGATACCGGAGCCGGAAGATGACGTTATCTTCCGGCTCCGGCATCCCTACGCGGCGCGCGAGGGAGCTGAAGAGGAAGCAGAGTGCTCCCTCGCGCGCTGGTCAGACAGCCCGCCAGGCAGCACCACTGGATCCCAGGGAATCCCCCCAGCTGGGGGGATTAATTAAAAAAAAATGTGTTAGAGTGAGTGTTAGAGTGAGTGTTAGAGTGAGTGTCTGCTAGTGAGTGTTAGTGTGTGTGTCTGCTAGTGAGTGTGTTACTGTGTGTGTCTTACTGAGTGTGTGTGTGTGTTAGTGAGTCTGTTTGATGTCTGTTAGTGAGTTTTTGTTTGTCAATGAGAGTGTATGTTTTGTAAGTGAGTGTGTATGTATGTCTGTCTGTCGCTGAGTGTGTCTCTGTCAGTAAATGTGTGTGTCTGTTAGCTAGTGTGTATGCGTCTGTAAGTGAGAGTGTGTGTCTTCAGCACTTACCTTTCTCCAGCGCCGGACTCCCTTGGCGCTGGGGATCCCTCAGCCTCTCAGCTCCGAATGCGACCGCGCACGCATTCAAACCGCCCATAGGAAAGCATTACTCAATGCTTTCCTATGGACATTCAGTGTGCTCCTCTAGTGGCTGTCAGTGAGACAGCCACTAGAGGCTGGATTAACCCTCAGTGAAACATAGCAGTTTCTCTGAAACTGCTATGTTTTCAGCTACAGGGTTAAAACTAGAGGGACCTGACACCCACACAACTTCATTGAGCTGATGTGATCTGGGTGTCTGTAGTGGTCCTTTAAGTGTGTGTGCATCTGCATGCACTGGTGTACTTACCGCGGTCGCAGGGGTCGCAGCCCTGTAACCCCTGCGACCAGGTGCCCACCGCCATGTGTTGCAGTCCGGCCCACGCGGGTGTGGGGCCCACGGATCAATTTTCGCACCGGGGCCCCATGGGTCATGTGTACGCCACTGCTTTCAGGATGTTAAAGCTGTATTGTACGTTTTATGTTCTCATTATACATTGTAAGTATTTGACTGTATGCATTTTAATAAGAGATATTTCAGTGTTACTTGCTTTTGTGATTTGTTTGGGATGTACATGTAAAAGTGGATAATTAAATAGGGAAATAGTGGCTCATAGATGTGGACATTACAGGCACATGCAATGAGAAATGTCTCAAACACACGTTTGCACACTTAACTATAAACATATATGGGAAAATCATTGCAAATGCTTGTTGACTGCACTACAGTTCCAAAGATGTTCATCCCGTCTCAAGACTTTAGATTGACATTTGCATAACACATTTCCCATGCCTAAGTCACAGTGATGTATATACCTCTCACCCTATCTACCTTTTTCATTCTTACTACCCTGCCCTGTAATATTGCACTTGTACTATTATGCATGTACCCCTTTCTAGTCATCATCATATCCAAACCTGCCTCTTAAGTTGTGTGAGGGGCAAATAAGGCCGTATAGGAAGTAGAAGGGAAATAGGTCGGTTGATGTGTGCCGGAACCGACGTCGTAGTAGGCCTGTAATAAAAGAGGGCCCACCCATGAGGTGTAATGAAAGTATAGATAGAGGGCGTGGAGGGTGGGGACATGCGTGTCGCTAAAAAATGTACGGGACAGAGGAAGGTGAGTAGGGGGGTTTAAATAGGTACCATGCCCCTCCCACAACTGCAGGCCAAGCCTTAACATTTATGTGAGGGGCAAATAAGGCTGTATAGGAAGTAGAAGGGAAATAAGTCGGTTGAGGTGTGCCGGAACCGACGTCGTGGTAGGCCTGTAATAAAAGAGGGCAAAAATTGTGTACCTGTCAGAAACGAAAACAATCAACAAAACCTAATTGTCTAGCTGTATGATAAATGCAAAACGAGGAAATAGTTGCCCAGCACTTTAGCTGGCGCTCGTAATTGTGCAAAGGCCCCCTAGGGTAGACTAAATGTGGGGTAGAGAAGGTAATCAGTAGACTGCATGAATAGGAGAGACTTCCTAAGATAATGCTGCAAGAAGGACGTGGTGGGTGTGGGAAAGTATGTGAGACCCAAGAAACTGTGGAAGCAAGAATAGTGGCTCAACAACTAGATTACAAAGTTAAAGTGGCCAGTGCCCATCAAGTACAGCCTTCCTCACATTTGTGTTAAACGGTTGATCCAAAAGAAGGCGAAAAACCCAGATTGAAGCGCTGCCAATTTGCAACAAGCTGGGAAAAAATTCCTTCTTGGCCCCATAATGGCAGTCATATTTCCTTGGATCAAGCAGTTACTGCCCTACATTGAAGGTCGATGCCCAGTTCGTAGTGACAGGCATTTAATAAGTCTGATAGTGAATGAGATACTTGGATGATGTGAAATCTGTAAATTTGAAATTCTCCAGAACCTGAAACGCCTTGAGTATGCTAATAGTCTGGAATGAGGACATGAAACTGCGTATGAAATGGTAAACCTGTACAACATGTGGAGTTGTGGACCGGATCAGTAGAGTTGATGCAAGTTAGAGGTGGCAAAAGAAGCAAAACCAAAATGCAGACAACAGAGCTACAGAAACAGCATTGGTATATGTGAAGAAGGAGCCCCAAAGGGGAAGAAGGCCCGAACACACGAAACCGCGAGCATTGGAAAAAGAGCCAGACGCGAAAAAGACGAGCTAACCAGGCTGGCAGCCCATGGTCGGGCCCCCGAAAGGTGCAGGGAGCCTGGATCAGAACCAGCCAAAGTGGCAGATGCCAGTTACCCCAAATTGCCAACCGACACCGCCCCATAGACGACAGCAGCGAAGACAACCGGAAGGCGAAACGGAGAAGTAAGAGCGAGCTCGGGGGGCCCCCACCAGCAACAGAGTTACCTGTGGACTGCAAACTGAGAGTTCAGCAGTCCGAAAGGCTGCCGGACGGGGGCATAAGGAGAAGGGACCCACGGGAACCGCAGCGAAGCAAGGAAGGGCCCAGGACCCGTAAAAAAAAAAAAAAAGTAGTAGCCGAAGCACCACAGCATGAAGGGTACCAGACCAAGCCAGAGAGCCCAGGTGGACAATATCGTGCCAACGCCAAGCAGCGGAAACCTGCTAGAAAAAAAAAAGAGACGAACAGGCACCGCAGAAGCGACCCAAAGTGTGTGTGTGTGTGGGTATGTGTATGTGTGCTGGCATACTAGCTAATGCCAAAAGGCAAAGTAATTAAAACTAGGTTTGGTGACCGGTGAGGCCTTGCTAGATGCCAAGCGGCGTGAGAGACTCTATCTACGAGTTGGCACGAGGGGATAACGTGGCCACTGAACGTTGTGGCGGGGTGTTGGCCTCTCGGTGACAGGTAACATAAGACAGAATGGGAGTGACAGGTGAGGCCCTCCCTATGCCACAATGCGAGGCAACTAACTATGATTTGGCCCGAGGGGCGTAGTACCTCCGAGTATGAGGATGGGTGTTGGCCTCGCGGGACCACTAACCTAAGGCAAAGAAGCCGGGGGGGAATTACAAACTAGTGGAACCTAGGACCCTGACAGCCAGCCACAGCTAACTAAGAGGGGAGGGAAGGTAGTAGTGTGAGAGAGGACGGATGTGCTGAACGTGTATCGAAAATGTGAGGGTGAACGAGGAAATACCGCAGGGTCGACCAGACCCGAAAGGAGAGTAAGCACGTCAGAGTCCAGGCGGACAGGCCAATAAGGAGCGAGCTTGGCAGTAGGCAACAGAAACCGCGGTGGTGTAAACACCACGGGAGTCACGAGACCCAGTGCGAGCGTGTATGTGTGTGATTGTGTGCGGGAGTGCTGGCAAACTAGCTAATCCAAAAAGGCGAAACAATTAAAAACTAGGTTTGGTGACAGGTGAGGCCCTGCTAAATGCCAAGCGGCATGAGAGGCTCTATCTATGCGTTGGCGCGAGGGGATATCGTGGCCACTGAAATGTTGTGGCGGGGTGTCGGCCTCTCGGTGACAGTTAAACATAAGATAGAATGGGAGTGACAGGTGAGGCCCTCCCTATGCCACAATGCGAGGCGACTCACTATGATTTGGCCCGAGGGACGTAGTACCTCCGAGTATGAGGATGGGTGTTGGCCTCACGGGACCACTAACCTAAGGCGAAGAAGCGGGGGGAAATTACCACTATTGGACACCTAGTACCCTGACAGCCAGCAACAGCTACCTAAGAGGGGAGGGTAATGAGTGTGAGAGAGGGGATGTACTGTGTGAAAGAAAAGAAAGAGAGGGCGGGGTACGAGGAAGAAAACATAGGGCCAACCGTAACTGGAGGGCAGAGTTAGTCATCGGAGTCCAGGCCATATAGAGTATACAAGGAAAAATATGGACAGAAAACACATGCGTGTGTATAGCCCACGGGGCTCATAAGGGCCAGAACGCGTGCCTGGTAACAAAAACATAACGCTCCTTCAGGAAAATAACACAACACCGGTACGGTGGGCCGACGTGGCCCAGCCAAGCAGAGAAACAAAACCCGAAGTTAAACCCAACCCGGGTCAGACCCCGTGATGGGACCGAAACACCGCTCGTGAGCAACTACGTAGTAAAGACCGCGTATATAAACCGCAGGGAAGGAAACACGAGCGTGATACACCCTCACCTATTTTTTTTTTTTTAAAGACAGAGTAAAATTCCAGTATCATTTACAATTTTTTTTTTTTTTTTAACTGTCTCTTCTATCTGGGGAAGGGGGGTGCACCAGAATTTGTATGGCATTCCATAAACAATAATAAACAACAGGGTCAGAGTATACTGTTCTTAAAGACATAAAGTGTTAAAGGAAAAGGCAGTGGAGACACCAAGGGGATTATTCACTAAACCGTAAACTATGGATAAATTAAAGCAGCACTTACATAGTGGTAGGAAGTCGCCATGTAAGCACATAGTATGAAAAACATGAAAATGATACCCAGCTAAACGTTCTTAGGAGGTGATCAAGGGCAAGGAGTCACCCATTAACCATGTACAAGTACAGGTAAAGGGTCTGCTGTGCATTAACCTAAATAGAAATATATATATGGATGTGTACCGCACTTGAGCAGTTAGACCTATATATAGGTTCATACCTTCATCCCAAACTGCACACAAACGCACATTGTTTGGCCGCATGGATGCCCGACCGCCAGCGAGTGCAGAAGTGCACAAGCGACAGCGCTGCAGGCAGCAAGGGGGGGGGGGGCAGCCAAGAATGCCGGAAAGCGATGCGCAGCAGGCCGCGGAGGCGAGCAGAGCAGAGCAGACCCCCACCCCCCCTCAGACGAGACACAATACCTCCGGACGGCAAGCCCCAAACACCCACACCACACTTCCGTGACGGCGCTGGACCAACGAGACGGACGGGAAGAGAACGGGAAATGCCAGAGCAGAGCCCAGGAGGACCGCGGAGAGACGAGCAGCATTGAAACAGCAGGCCAGGCAAAGAAGCCACAAGGACCAGGTAAGGACAACCAGAAATAGCGACATGTCACTAAAAAACGTACGGGATGGAGGAAGGTGAGTAGGGGGGTTTAAATAGGTACCATGCCCCTCCCACAACTGCAGTCCAAGCCTTAACATTTATCATCATTCCAATTTAGCCTCAATCTTCCCTACATCTAATCAATTCCTATCCTCATATTACCTGACTTTAGCCTCCCTCAATTATCATACCCAACCCACGATCCATGCCTTCTTCATTTGGAATTATTATATCCAACCAATGCCTCCCTTCCCTGTCATCATTTTAACACCAAACACCCACTTATGTTATCCCCGATTCTAGCTTGAAAAAGAAAGTAACAATTCTAGTCCAAGTCTGGAACAGGATCGTAATAATATGTTCCCTGCTATTATTCCTTTGCATTGTACGATTTGATTTAGATTAGATTTGAAAGGAAAAATAACATACAAAACCTTTTTTTTTTTTTTTTTAATGAAGCACAGTAAAAGCTTTTCTACTATGTCTTTTCTTTTTTCTTGATTTTTAAATTGAAGCATACAGTACAACACAGAATGTGCATTATTGTTCTAAAAATTCTGTAATCCAAAAAGCCATTACTTACTTGTGCTCTATATTCTTGTAATAGATCCCACCAAAGTGGCAGTGTTAACTGTATATATTATATTAGTGATATCATTTCTAGGAGCACCAGCCATTAAATGGTTAGTGTTCTCTATGCACTTCTGCTGCAGAATTGGCTGAAATCATTTTGAAATATAGTGTAATTTAACTACTGTAATCACATTGTCTTCAACCAGATTTTCTCCTGACATTTGCCATTACCAGGCACACAATTTATCCTAGTGTACGAAGATTGCTCTGAATTTGCACTGTCTATTTATGATTTGAATTCTGAACGACAACAAAACCCTTCTCAAGAACAGTGACGTTCTCCATTCTGATACCATATGTTATATACTTATATGTGTTTGAACTGGATAGCACATTTAATATTGAAATTCGATGATATAGTATGGAAATATGCCAATGGGATTTTTTTTGAAAGATTTGAATCTACAATATTTAAATGTGAAGATGTTTGTAATACAATGAAATGTAACTAAATAAATCCTAGATACTACACTACTACAAAAAGCTAATTTTACACCCATGCATGGTATATGGCAACTACAAGTGGTGTAGTATGTATACAAAATATAGTGGATTTTTCATAGTAATTGAGCTTAATTCTAAGCTGTGCATGCTTTATAAATCTAATAAAAAAAAGAGGGGAGGCAATAAAACAAAAAAATATCCTACATTATTTTAGCCACTTAATGAAGAGATTGTAATGAACAGTTTCATTAAATTATTTAATTCAGTCAGTCACTCACTTTGCATTGTTTCTATTTATCTACATGTTTTGGAGTGAAGGGGCAAAGAAAATTTAGTTTTCATTTCACAATCTTTTCCAGAAAGGCCCAATCAGGTCATTCCATCCAAATTAATTTTCTCCCATCTACTCTCAAAGACAAATTTTAGAGGGACTTCTCATACAAACTCTTAAACTTAACCCAAGGATCCGCATTCAGTTTAATTAAAAATTAAAGATGTTTATTGATTTGTTTAGGGGTCCTTTTATAAGAGTCATACCTAGTTGGACACATCTTTTTCCTAGTGTATCTAGACCAATTTCTTTATGTACCTATTTCTCTAAAAAAATTGCCTTTTTTGTTTGTTGTGCATGAAAATAACATCAATTATCTTGCAATGCCCCAATAGTACATGCTAGATCAATAAACAACAGAATATAACAGTTGGTTAGCTTTGTGAAGCGTCTGCACCTTTTATTATTTGTGTAGAATGCGAATATGCTGTATGAGAAATACGTTTAGGTCTGGTTAGGTACAGAATGATATAGAGTAACATGCTTGATTATCCTTTAGCATAAACAGTAATACAACAAGCTAAGTATAATGCTCCACTAGTAGTTAAACATGGTGTGTATGCATGAAAGCGTTGACATAAAGGAAGCAGGTTGGTTGTTCATGTATAGTGTGACAAGCAGGTTTAACCCCTGGGTTGCCTCGACATGTATAGGATGTGGCCACATAGAAGCATGTAGCTATCAAAGCCATGGTAGCATAGGACTATAAATGATAAATTTAACATTAACTGGGCATCTATCATAAAATAACAAAGACAATGCAGGCCCCAGCTTGTAGCCCAGTTATGAGGCACAATATATCCCACTGCCCGGATCAGCCGAGTCCTCTGTGCGGCAAGGCTGAAGTGCAATCAAGAGAGTTGTCGACAGGTGCATTTGCTCAGGTATCAGCTTAGGAGCAGCAGTCAGGTAAAATCAGAGAGTCAGCGGATGCCACATGTGGGCCACTTCAAACCATCCCTTTCCAGACCAGACATAGGGTATACAGGATGTCCAGAACCTCCGTGGGTTCCATATCCCGCCACCACTATCCTTCTCTGATGCATCACAAGAGCTTGGGCCATGCGCGGCCTGGTGGGGCTGTTGGAGTCCTCTATTGGGATAGGGCTTCTGTGGGGGGGTTCTGCGAGCAGGCTTAACCCCTGGAACTGATCTCCTGGATAGTTTTCTCCTCCTGCGCCTGAGTGCGATACCGCTCCAACTCGGAGTGATCAGCACAGACTACTGAGTTGCAGGAGTTGAGTGGTTAATCAAGTTTGCTTCTCATTGCCTCTCCTCGAGCTTTCACCAGAAGTCTTCAAAGATTATGTCCAGCTTTGTTAGGGTCAACTCTGTCAGGCCTCATGGTGTAGTAAAGGGCCCAGCATCCGCCATCTTGTGTCGGTTGAGGGGGCAAGGTTTATGCCGCAGCATGTACTTGTGTAGGGCAGCAAGTCTACCAGCGACCGGTGAGTGTAGCTGGGGTGAAGGGGCCAGGATAACAATCCCCAAGGGGGGGACTGGGGTCCCCTACTGTGTCAGCTTGTTCCAGCAGGAGAGCTAGTGGGGAGAATGGCCGCCTCTCTCTCACTCTCACCTTCAGGTAGGCCTCAGTAGCGTTTCGGGCGCAAACTGCTTGACATGCATCGGTAAAGCTTTGAGTTGAAGCAGAGCTGCTTGTAGGCTGTCTCCAGCTCATGGATTGCCATTTTTTGCTATGAAAAATCAATTTTAGAGTAAATTCAGAGATTCTCAATCAGCGCTCACTCTGCATGTGGCCGGTTAGCTTGGCAGACAGGCCCGGCCCCCAGAAATAGGCTTTTGGGGTTTTTTTCATTCTTTTTTTATATTTAATTCTTTATTTTAGAGACAATTATATCATTATTCATATACAGAGTTATTGGCAAATGAGACAGCACATAAGTCTCTTGTTTTTAGGTTAACATCTAAAAATACAATGTAATACAACATTTTAATAACATTAGAAAATAAATTGCTATCAAAAATAGAAAATTTGACAATGATGTAGAAAACAGGGGGTTCAGGGAGTGTACCGCTTCTATAAATAAAAAAAATTAAAAAAGTACCTGCACAACCCATGTATAATGCAAATAAGATTTTATTAATCAAAATTTAACAAATACTCATAGTTAATCCATATACACCCTTTTTTTTTTAATTTGTATTTTATTGTAGTTTGCATATGCAAGTTACAACTGTTTGCAGTATGAGATAGGTAAGAGAGTAAAACAGTGGTTACATGGTTTAAATGAGGAAAAACATACATTATGTCACCTAAGAGGTAAGTATGGGCCTATTGGTGCATTAGAGATTTGTGTCATGGGCTATTTCTGCTCCTAAATGTTTATATAACCCTCTGCTAATTGGGTGTATGTATAGGTATAGACTGTCATTAATTTAGTAACTTTGGAACTTAGGGAACTTAGAGCATATTAAACTTTATAGAGAGGGTGCAGTGCCCCAGGGAGGGGTTCCTATACAGGGTTCTTTACAAACGTGATCTATGGGTCATTGATGGTTAAGAAACTCTCGCGTGGCTTCTCTAGCGTGAGCTCCCTGGGCTATCTAGGAAGTGTTGCTACTGGTGCTGTAGTACTATAGGGGGTCAGCATTGTGGAGCAGTGGGTAATAGATTTAGCCGCTGGAGGAATGTCGTCTGGTCTCCAGAGGGGGCTAAGGTGAGTGTGTCATCCCCCCTCTGAACTGCTAGGGAGCCCTCTAATCCCCATCTGTATTTAATTGCGGCGTCTCGCAGCCGTCGTGCAATGGGTGCTAGCTGCCTCCTAGCCATCATCACACTGAATGGGAGGTCTCCGTAGATGGCAATGGTGCACTCCTCAAAGTGGATGTCTCCTAGCTCTCTCGAGCTGGACATTATGGCAGATGGAGCTGCAATGTCCTTAGTCACTGCTATAATGTCTCTTGGTGCCTCCGTGGGTGCAGCCTCAGCTTTATGGATCCGGAACGCTGAAGTGATCATACCAGAGTCTGCAACTCTCTTTGCGCCCGTGGAGGTCAGCAGTCTCTGGAGAAAGGGTAATAGTGCATCTCCCGCAATTCGTTCCGGCACCCCTCTAAGGCGAATATTCTTCCTCCTGTGCCTGGATTCCAGCGCTGTCACAGTCCTGTTTAGTCTCTGGACTTGTTGCGCGAGGTCCCGGGTCTCATCTTGGGTGGTCCGCAGCTGCTGTTCTCTGGCTACCTCCCTGGACTCCACCTCGGTGACCCTCTGGGACAGGGACCCCAGCGCTGCTTGAGTAGCGTGCAGGTCTGCTTTCCATACCTGACGTCTCAGGATTCCCTGTTTCCTCAAAAAGAACCCACCATTACAGACTCTTGATAAGTGTTTTGGACTATTGCTGCTTATTATTTTATACTTACTTTTATTATCTGATATTTTATTTTACACTCTGTATATGTTTTATTATACATTTTAGGCGCACTCTTATCCTTTTTATCTGTTTTTGTCTTTTAATAGCCTGGGGATTATAAGGGACTCCCCTCAGAGAAGTGCTGCCTCCTTTATTTATTTATGTGGCAGTAGAGCGCTGATTTTCTCCTTTTTCATCTGCTTTCCATACCTGTCTAATT